ATTCCCATTCTTCTCAATGTTATCCATAATTTGTCATGATCCACACAATCAATGCCTTTGCATAGTCAATAAAACACAAGTAAACATCTTTCTGATATTCTTTGCCTTGAGCCAAGATCCATCTGACAACAGCTATGATATCCCTTGTTCCACGTCCTTGGCTGATAGGATTGCTATTTAATGTTGCATCTAGAATAGGTGGAGCCTTGGTGGTTCGGTGGTTAACGCTTTTGGCTGCTAACCAAAAGGTTGGTGGTTCAAACCTACCAGCTGCTCTATAAAAGAAACATGAGGCAGTCTGCTTCCATAAAGACTGGGGTCACTATGGGCAGTGGACGCATGTGTTGCAGTGGACACGTGGCATTATGCGTTTGTCAAATATCAGTTTGACATATGTTGTTCTTGATTGCCATTGAGTGGCTTCCGCCTCCCCATGACTCCATGTGTGCAGAGTAGAGCTGCCCCGTAGGGTTTTCAAGGCTGGGAGCTTCGAGAAAGAGGTCACCAGGCCTGTCTTCGGAGGCACAGCTAGCAGCCGGTCACTTAACCATTTGGATCACACAGGGACTGGACCAAGAAGCAGCATCTTGACAGATGGAGAAAGATTGAAGTTGTCAGGGATTCCATCAACACCCATGGAAGCAGCAGTCAGGAAAGCAGAGGACATCACACGGGCAAAGGCAGTGCGGGGAATGGCTTCCCACCGCCCTTCTAGCCACCATCCTCCATCCGCTTTGTGTTGTACTCAGTACATCCTAGTGTCTATGCCTGTTTAAGGGAGCTGCTGGGGGCGTAGTGCCTAAGGCATTTGACTGCTAACCAGAAGGCTGGCCTTCATACCCATCAGCCACTCCTTGGAAGGAAGACTGGCCAATCTACTAGAGATACTGCCTTTAGGGTGGGATGTCTCTTGAGTCCTGCCTTGCTGGAGGGTGTGACTCAAGTCACCACCTTCGCCTTCCTTGAGGGTAGATGTGTGAATGTCTGGGAAAGCTCTCTCTTGCTCAGAGTCCTGTGTTTGGTTCATCGCCATCTCTCGCCCGGACTCGAGACAGCAGCTGGTCATGTGACCCACTGATGTGGGTTCACCAGCCCCTGCAAACCACACAAGTGGGGAGAATCTTCCAGATGTACCCATGGATTTGGGACTCACCAGCCTCCCAGGCTCTACCACCAAAATAGCCATTTCCTTGGCAGTTTGTGAGTTCTGTGAGACATCACAGTGAAATACGGGCCCCTAAGACAGGAGGCAGAGGACCGAGAGGAACAGGAGCAGTTGATGCTGCAGATGACGGCGTGGCCCCAGCTTGGAGAAAGCAGACATGTGGGGCATCTCTAACTCTGCCTCATAGGCACCAGCCTTGCGCTGACCCTTGTGGAAGAAATTATTTGAGCAGCAAAACAAAACAAAACAAAAAAACCCAAAGTCACTGCCCTCAAGATGGATCCCACTCATTGCAACCCCTCCTTGGGTCTCCAAGGCGGTATCACTAGGGAAGTAGGTTGCCCAACCTTCAAACCCACCAGCCTTCTGGTTAGCAGTCAAATGCCTGAGGCATTACGCCACCAGACCTCCCAGTCTGCTGCAAAAGACTTCTTTAAAGCGTTAAAGAGCAAAAGTGTAACTTTGCAGAGAAAGGTGCGCCTGCCCCAGGCCTTGGTATTTTCAAAGGCCTCATATGTATGTGAAAGGTGGACAATGAATAAGGAAGACTGAAGGAGAGTGAGGTACTTAAATTACGGTGTTGGCCACAACAAACAAATCTGTCTTGGACTAAGCCCCAGCGGAATGCTCTTTAGAAGTGAAGATCACTGGGAAGAGGTAACTTATGGGGAGGAAGTGGGAGGGGAGCTGTTGCATTGTAAACTGTGGTCAATGACATGAAACAAAGTATATGTGAACTGCTGTATGGAAAGTGAATTTGCTCTGTAAATCTTCACCCAAATCACAATAAATAAAATAAAAAAAAAAAAAGAAGTGAAGATGATCAGACTTGTCTCACATACTTTGGTGGTGTTATTAGGACAGACCAGTCCCTGAGAAGGACATCATGCGTGGTAAAGTCAGCAAAAAGAGGAAGACCTTTGCAAGTTGGACTGGCACAGGGGCTGCAGCGATGGGCTCAGGGATAACAAGGATTGTTGAGGCGGGTGCGCGACGGGCGGGGTCGCCTTCGTTGTATGTAGGGTCGCCTTCTTTGTGCGTAGGGTCGCTGTGGGTGGGAACCAACTCCATAGCACCTAACAACAACAAAGGACTGTTTTAGTTCATAATAATGTATCAAATGTACCAGACAAACGCAACATGGTAATAACAGTAGAAACTACAGGAGAACGAGAGATACAAGGAGAGTTTCAGCACCATTTTTTTTGTAAACCTAAAGCTTCTCTAAAAAATAGAGTATATTTTAAAACATTGGATTATTACATATAAAGTATATATTGATATGTGAAATGCTGTGCCGATAAGATATCACATCCATCTCTGCTTAGCGCACTTCGCTCCCCCGCTGGCCCCTCCCTTCCGGCCCTGCAGGTGGAGAGACCTCGCACGAGCAGCAGGTGGCGCTGCCGCGCCTCGCAGCGCCGAGGCCTTTAGCGCCGGGGCCGGCGGCGCGGAGGCGGTGCGATGCGTCAGCCGGACCCGCAGGCCGGGGAGTCGGGGGAGCTGAGCCGCAGGACCTAGGCCAGACTGGCGGGGGAGGAGTCGAACACATGAGTCACCAGGGAGCCCCCGATCGGCCGTGGGAGATCATCCCACGAGGATCTGCCCGCCTCGCTCGTGAGCTGCCTTCCGGAGGAGGGGAGCGGCGGCGAGGCTGGCAGGGGACCTTGCGTGCCGGGTACACACGCCAGGCTGCAACCCGAACCTCAGCAAGCCTCAGTTTTCCCTTTTACGTGCTGGACAGTCATATAGCCCATGCTGACTGGGTCCTTGAGTTTAAACGAACCATGCTACAAGGAGAGCCTGGTACACAATACACGCTCAATATATGTCAGCGCCCATTCCAGAGGGAGGTTATAAAACTGACGATCGTGATTGCAAACAGGCCAGAGGCGGCAACTTGCAGCTGAAGCCAGAACCGTTTAGGCCTCGCTTTCTCCAAGGCGTCAATTTCGCTTCTTGGTCAAATGGTGGAAAGAGAGGCAGCCGGCAGGGGGCGCGCCTGCTCAGGGTAGAGACAGTGGAGGCCGCGCCACCTGCGCCTCCCAAGCGCGCCCCACCCTGAAACTGGCTGGGGGCGAGGCGGGGGCGCCCCGTTTCCTCCCCAGGATACTTAGGCCTCTGCAGTCCCCACTTTTAGAAGGCCCCGAGGAGGTCTGCCGCGCTCACAAGTTGAACAGTTGGCGTATATTGAGCGCTCCTTATTTTACTGACTCCAGCCCAATGAGAAGGGCGCTGCACTGCTCGAGACAGGTGGGGTGACAGACCTAGAGAGGTTAAGTCACTCGGTGCCTGGGAAGACCCTCTCCCACTAATCCCTGGGAAGGATCGAGTGTAAGTGAGGACCCCTCTCCACGCGTACCCCATCCCCAGCATGCTCCTTCCTCCAGACCCCCTTTGACAAAGGCACAGGTCTGGGACTCTCCCCCGGCAAGCAGGGGATTCCAGGCCCCCCCGAAAGTCAGGTCCGCCTCGCGCGCTGGAAATCCCGCGCGCGCCCCGAAACGCCGCGCTGCTGCCGGGAAATCAGGAGCAAAAACTTCTGCTTTTTTTTTTTTTTT